ATAGGCAGAGATTTCTTAGATCAGGAACACATCGTAATGATTAAGAAGCAACACCAGCTTGTGTTGAAGACTATCGGGAACACGGCGGAAGTCTTTGAGATAGTGGACGGAAAAGATCATAGCGGAGAACTCGACTTTGGGAATATTACCGCGTAGGAGAGACAGGACAGCATGAAATTGCTTGATGAATTCGGCGATAGAATATCTCGGTCTATGCGAGAGCTCGGTAAAACAAACACGGCGTCCCTTGTAATAAGATGCATGACAGATATACCGATAACTTACCACCCGTACCGTATGGCCGAAACAGAAAAAACAATTCTTAGGGATATGATAAAAGAATTACTGGACAACCAAATAATTCGGGAATCACACTCACCGTATGCGAGTCCGATTATCCTAATAAAAAAGAAAACCGGCGATTACCGGTTGTGTATCGTCTATCGCAAGTTGAATGCGATTACAATTAAGGATAGATACCCATTACCATTAATAGACGACCAGTTAGATCGGCTGGGCGACAACCGGTATTTTACAACGCTAGATTTAGCTTCGGGCTATTATCAAGTTCCGGTTGAAGAAACATCTATACCAAAAATAGCGTTCGTTACCCCTGAAGGGCACTACGAATTCTTACGGATGTCCATCGGCCTCACAAACGCCCCTGCAGTTTTTCAACGACTGATGGATTTAGTGCTAGGACCGCTAAAAAATACTATTGCCTATCCATACCTTGACGATGTTATAATTCCATCAAATAGCGTCGAGGAAGGTTTGCGGCATTTGCAAAGCGTCCTAGAAAAATTTCGAGCGCACAATCTTACGCTTAAAATAAGTAAATATGCGCTTTTCAAATCACGGATTGAAATGCCAGCTCCGACGACCGTAAAACAAATTAGGCAGTTACTGGGTTTGGCCAGTTATTTCCGAAAATTTATTCAGGGATTTGCAACACTTGTGGAGCCTCTCAGCAGACTTACTCGTAGGAGCGAACCATGGGTTTGGAGGGATCCGCAGGAACACGCGTTCCAAGAAGTAAAAAGTAGGTTAATGACTCGACCAGTCTTAGCGATATTCGATCCAACCCTGGCAACAGAATTGCATACGGACGCCAGCTCGTTAGGCGTAGGCGCCATGTTAATGCAGCGTAAGAATGACGGAAAAATGGTAGTTGTAGCGTATTATAGTAAACAAACTACGTCTGATCAGCGGTGCTACCATTCGTATGAATTCGAAACGATGGCGGTAGTATTCGCGTTACGGCATTTTCGGGTATACCTATTAGGGCTCCATTTTAAAGTCATCACTGACTGCAATGCACTACGGACTACACTCACAAAAAGGGACTTGCTACCTCGCGTAGGGCGATGGTGGCTTGAAGTTCAAGATTTCATGTTCGACGTTGAGTATCGTCCAGGAACTAGAATGGCACACGTGGATGCGCTAAGCCGCAACCCGATGTCTGTCGAATTAGAAGTCGACCGTATAGATTTGACCGAAGCTGACTGGATACTGGCCGCACAACTACAAGACGAACAATTGAGTAGAATCAGAACTATGTTGGCAGGCAAGCGGACAAATGACAGTAAGCAGTACTTCGATAGCTACACCATTAAGAATGACAAAATTTACAGGCGCTTAGAAGATGGATCTAAGGCATGGATGGTACCTAAAAATGCTAGGATGCAAATATGTAGTTATGTCATGACGACGCAAGACACTTGAGCGTAGAAAAGACCTTGGAGAGGGTTAAACAAAATTATTGGTTCGCCGGAATGAGAAGATTCATCCTTAAATATGTACGAGCGTGTCTGAGTTGCGCGTACTATAAGAACACGAAAGGAAAGAGACAATGTAAATTGAATCCGATTGAGAAAGTTCCTATGCCATTTCACACAATACACATTGACCATGTAGGGCCTTTTGAGATTATTGGTGATAGTTGACGCTTTCACTAAATTTGTCATCATTGAGCCCCTGAAAAATCAAAAGACACGGTCCGTTGCGAAAAGCCTAATGAACATTATATATCTTTTTGGATGCCCAACTAGAATAATTAGTGACCGTGGGACAGCTTTCACTTCAAGGTCGTTTAGAACCTTCTGCGAAGCATATGGGATCAAACATATACTTAACGCAGTTGCCACTCCAAGGGCTAACGGACAATGCGAACGATATAACAGGATAATAATAGCAGCTCTAGCCACGACAACTGCAGGCACGGATCCGTCGCACTGGGACGACTACGTCAAAAGAGTTCAGAGCACGCTGAACACGTGCTTGAACAAAGGCATAGGCACGACACCTGCCAAGGCACTCATTGGTTATGAAACAAAGAGTCCCGCGGAAGGATGGTTGTTAAGTAAGGTGCAGGAGGAGATAGATCGCGTGGACGTACAGCAGCTTCGAGAACAGATGCAACGGCATATTTCGGTGTCGCAACGGAAGCAGAAAGAATATTACGACAAGACACGAAGGACGGCAACCATTTACAACAGCGGCGATCTCGTCATGTTGGAAGTGACGAGTGAAGGGGCTACTGGGAGTAGCCGAAAATTGCTAGCTAAGTTTAAGGGACCTTTTCGAATCATCAAAGTCCTGCTAAACGATCGGTACGAGGTGGAGGATCTGAGGGAAGGATCGAGAGGCAAACGTACCGTAGCCGCTGCCGATAGGCTGAAACGGTGGATAACGGTGCAAGACGGTACCGACGGCGCAGAATCTGACGAGTAAGAAGTTGAGTACATTTACTCTAAAATGTATTCGCGCAAACAAGCCATCGCGATGTCATCCGGAAATGCCTGCGAAAGCTCGCTCCAGAAAAGAGGGGCAGGGGCCCGTTTTTTTGCAATTGGCAATTAAGTGGCTTCGGCAAGTCTCACTTGTCGCTCAAGCTAGGCAAACGTTGCCACTCCTTGAAGTACAGCGAACGTCGCTCAAACTAGGCAAACGTAGCCGCTCCCCGAAGTACAACGAACGTCGCTCAAGCTAGGCAAACGTTGCCATTCCTGGAAGTAGGGCGAACATCGCTCAAGTTAGGCAAACGTTGCCACTTTACCGGGTGAAAAGAAAAAAAAAAGAGAAATAAAATGAAGCCAGGAAATTAAAGTCCCGAGGAAAGATCATTTTCTCTCTCCACTTACTTCTGCAAGAATAAGTCCATTTCATGTTTAAATATATGCTCACGCTATTAAATATGGCTCATTATGGGAGTTTTGTCACATGTCAACGTTGTTTTTTTTTGTAGACTCTATGTCTGAGGACAGATCAATTGCAGGATGGACAGGCACACTTTGTCGTTGGTCGTCGGCTGTGACGGTCATAAACCAGCTCTCAATTCTTAGGCAGGGTTATCGATATATGTATACATATGAGTGTATTATTTTTCTAACAATAAAGAGACGGTAAAATCGCAGCCTTTCACGTATAACCTTCTTCTCTAACATTAGTCAAGGAAAATAAAATTTTGTTATATCTAGACGGTATTTTAGTAGCGACAAAGACAATCGAAGAACACATTGTAATTTTGTAAGAAATTTTCCGTTTAGCCGCGCAAAAGGATTTACAGTTTCGTTTGGATAAGTGTTCGTTTTTTTATCGCGAGGTTACATATCTCGGCTATTTAATTAATGAATTTGGTGTTCGTCCCAGTCGAGGCGGTATCGAGTCCGTTCTGGATTATCCGACTCCCCGAGTGGTGAAGGACGTGCAGCGTTTCGTGGGCCTTGCGAGTTATTTTAGGCGTTTTATACCGAATTTTTCTATTATAGCGAAACCACTGTACGAGTTATTGAGAAAGGGTGCGTCTTTTAGATTCGGCTCAGAAGAAAACGAAGCTTTTACGTGTTTAAAGGGTAAATTGGCAACCGAACCGGTTTTGGCTATTTACTCCCCCGATTTTAAAACAGAATTGCACTGCGACGCCAGCGCAAATGGGTTCGGCGCGGTGTTAATTCAGAAACAAACTAACGGTTTTTTTCGACCTGTATTTTATTTTAGCAAGCGGACTATGATAGCAGAATCAAAATATTCAAGCTTCGAATTGGAATGTTTAGCCGTGATTCATGCCGTTAAGAGATTCCACATTTATCTCTACGGTGTTCGTTTCAAGATTATCACAGATTGTGACAGTTTCCGTCTCACGTTGAGTAAACAAACAGTCAATCCACGTATCGCGCGTTGGGCGATCTTCTTACAGAATTACGATTACGATATCGAGCACCGAGCCGGGATAAAGATGGCACACGTAGACGCTTTAAGTCGCTGTGGCAGTGTCCTGGTTTTGGAACCAAACACCTTTGAATACGTTTTGTCACTCAAACAAACTCAAGATGAGGAAATCAAAAAAATTAGAGAGCCATTGGAGGAAGGAGAGAAAAATATTACGAGTTGCGTGACGGTTTGGTATATAAAAAATTTGACGACGGTAGACTATTGTTTTATGTTCCACAGTCGATGGAAAGTAATGTATAATAATTAGGACGTGCCACGACGACCTAGGCCATTTAGGAACCGACAAAGTAGTCGAAAATATTTCTAGAATTTATTGGTTTCCGGGTGTGCGCAAAAAAGTGAAAGCCTATATCGGAAACTGTTTGAAATGTATAGAGTTTTCGCCTTTTAGTGGAAGAGTCGAGGGATATTTACATAGTATAAAGAAAGATAACGTCCCATTTCAGACACTACATATCGATCATTTAGGTCCGCTTGAGAAAAGCAACGGTATGAAACACATATTATCGGTGATAGACGGTTTTACAAAATTTATTAAGCTCTATCCGTGTAAATCGACAACATCAAACGAATCAATTAAGCACTTAAAAGACTATTTCCGAAGTTATAGCAAACCCCGTCGAATAGTCAGTGACCGCGGAACTTGTTTTACGTCCGGTGCGTTTAAAGATTTTTTGAAGGAAGAATCTGTCGAGCAAGTTTTGATAGCGACTGCGACACCCCGCGCAAACGGACAAGTAGAGCGATTCAACCGCGTTATTGCGCCCATGCTGGCGAAATTATCGGAAGACCCAGACAAATGGTTCAAAATTTTGGATAAAGTAGAGTTCGCGTTAAACAATTCCGTTTGTCGGTCGACTGCCGAAACACCGAGTCGTTTGTTGTTTGGAATGAACCAGTTAGGTCTCGTTAACGATAAGTTACGATTAGAATTAGATGCGAATATCAGCGTAGAGAGGGATTTGTCTGCGTTTCGCGACGCTGCTTTCAGGAAGATTGAAAAATGTCAGCTCGAAAACGAAAGATTGTACGACTGGAAGCGAAAACCAGCGATAGAATACCAGGTTGGAGATAATGTTGTAATTTCAAATCACGTTGTTGCGCCTGGTGTAAATAGAAAGTTACTGCCGAAATTCAAGGGACCATACGTTGTGACGAAGGTACTTGACAACGACCGATATGTCGTTAGTGATATCGAAGGATTTCAGAAATCGCGCGTACCGTTCACCGGAATTGTCGGTCCCGACCAAATTAAACGTTGGTCTCGCGAGGTAACCTAAGGCTACTTGTAAATTAGGATAGGTTATACCTAGAATGGATAAGTTTATATTTACATTTATGCGTTACCCTTATGTCTATATTTATATTTACAGTTATACGTTTATATTTCGAGCAAACCGAGAAGTTGCGTAAATTGTGTTTTGTTATCGGGTCATATCGGTTAGGAAGTTGCATAAATTTATGGTTAAGATAAGTTTGTACGGAGTACGTTGCCGTGTATCGTACCGTGACCGCGGTCGGTCACCAATGTCAGGAATGGCCGAGCTGTAGGCGATACGATGTTTCTCGTTAACGAAACCGTTCGCTACGCGATACTTTGTCGCGGAAGACGACCGTTGGCGGCTGTGTACTGTGTAGTCATCGACGCTCGCTCGAAACCGAGCGTCGTATTCGTTCTTTGTTGCGTCGATGACCGTCCTTTTGTCGAGTCAGTCGTCGAGTGGATGCTATGGAGATCGGACACGCAGTGTTAAATAAATAACCATTTACGATTCACACCGTCTCTCCCCTCTTTACCTACAATTTAGATTGAAGATTTTATTAATTACTGACATTTGCCACAAGAATAATGAAAATTAAAGTCAATTTGAGATTAAAGTTTAATTAGAGTCTTTCGAAGTAGGCATGACTATTTGTTGTTCGAGGTGTTAGTAGATTAATTACTCAATCGTAATACGTTACTTGCATACAATATTGATATCAAAATAGTGTACATTTTTGTAAATTTTTTGAATCTCTCTGCAAAAATCAATGATGCAGCTGAAGAAATATGCAAATGCAAATTGATACTTCATATTGATAGCAACTTTTCAAGTAGAGTCGCCGTTAATTCGTTATTTCTATCTCTACACGAGTACAATTTCAATTTCGATGCAGTAATTTATGATTATTTCGATTTTAATACTTTTATTATGTTAAATATTGATTATTGCATATCACAAATGAACTAATAAAGTCGCGATAAAATCTATTCTTGTTTTAGCTTTGCACAGAGACATAATTCATTTTTTGCTTAAATTCATTTGCTTAATAGTCGAGTCTACCGTTCTAGTAAATTCATTTTTTTCGATAATAAAGACTGATTCTTAATATTTTGTGTGTACTAATCCGTTTCCTTTTCAGCATCTTATCCAATGAATATCCAATGAATTAGTTTGTTTCGGGTTATCTACAGAAATTTCGACAATGAACACAAGTTTGTCGACATGAGAAGATAATACCTTGAGTTTTCTGTTTCAGGTTAGGTATCGTCGTGGGATTTAATTTCAACTCCACCGAAATAAAATGTCTATAAAACCATGTTATTATATTATTTAGTCTTATTATGTATATGTTGTTATTGATATTCTTATTGAAATTTATGTAAAATGAAATGTCCGTAACCATATTTTATTGTGATAAATACTTTGAATATCTATTATCGAATTAAAATACGTATAAAAATATATCGATATACTTTTATGCTTATTACATGTTGTTATTGAAATTGTTATTGCAATTATTATTCAAATTTATGCATAATGAAATGTCCATTAACATGTTTTGTTGTGATCTTTTAAACTTCTGTTTCAGGAATCGTCGTATTATCAAATTTCTTTGACTTTCTGTTTCAGGAATCATCGTATGAAGACATCACATATGAAGAGCAATAATAATCTCTTGTTCTAATCTTTCAGGGTTTGTTTCAGAAATCTTCATATGAAGACCAATAATAACTAATGTAGTTTAACGTAGTTCATCATAGACTTAATGACTGCTTGGTACATAGAATATTAAGTGCGTAAACAAAATGATCGATGGAACTTTTCTCATTCCATCTATCTCATTCGTTTCAGTTTAAGATATTCTAACATATCCCGAGTAATTATTCAATCACTTAACTTCAATTTTTTTCGGTGTAATTTTGTTCGGACCGATCACCTTGCGATATAGGCAGGTGAATCGGCCGTCGTGTTTGCACATTAGTGCAAATTGACCGGATTCCCTAACTGTATTGCCCTCCCGCGTCATACCCACGCTGCACGCTGATCCGTATTACCGTGTCGATTCCATGCGGCAGTCGGAATATCCGGTGTACAGGATCGGTACATTGCGTTGGGATTTTACACCGATGACGCTGCGTGATTCCGATTCGTCCATTTGGTTACAGTGTCACAGTTGCGAAAGATCAACGTTTCGTATTCGATCGTGTGCGCCGGGTATGACGTCGGCCTAGTGTGGTGTTCCTGTGGAAGCACGTCGGGCTAAAGGTACATTTATACACCGGGCCCGTAAAACGGTTCGACCCGTGGTTTAAATGTGCCGGATCTTCCCGAACGGAGATGACAACGACGTGCGGCTGGAATCCCTGCAACGGGGGGCTGGGAGAAAGGAAACAGACACGTGAACGCGACAGTCGAGTCTATCTTTTTTCATTCTGAGACAACGATCTCTCTGAATATACATACTCACCTTCTGAGAGTAGGTATACGTAGTATATATACCCTCCCTTTATTTTTCGAATAAATACGCGGTATATTAGTGTTTAGTGTATGTTGTTTTATGTTACTAGCATTAAGAATATTAAGATTATCTTCAATAGTATGCCAGTACATATTACGATTAATATGGCCTCTGTACTATGGAATTTGGAGTATTATCCCTTTCAGGCCTGAGTTTCCCAAATATTTCAATACGCATTTTAACTCAGTAGGTTGTTTAGATAGTTTTTTGAAGAAAAAAAAAGAATTTTGTAAGAAAGTTCATCTACACTCTACACAAATGTGACCACCAGGTCTGAAAGGGTTAAGATAGTAGTTCTAAGCTGAAGAACGAAGACATCCGACGAGGGAACTTAGTTTTTTATAGGTTTAGGCTCAAGAAAGAAGTCATCCGCCTAGGGATTTTAGTACCGGTAGTATTAGATAATTAAAATATAAGTTATTTATAAGGTTTATTGTGAAAGGTGGATAGATGCGGAACTTGGGATTCCATCTACCTGTCTTGGGCCTCCACTCGCAGCAACTATATAAATAAATGTATATATGTATATTGAAGTATGTATGTATATGGCAATATTCCTGGAATTCTGGCCCTCTATAACCCCGAAGGTGCATAAACGAGCGCTTACCATATGACATGCAACAATAATATTTCGTTTGCTCCTCGTTAATAGGTTGTTATTGAGATATCTGACTATTGATTAATGTAAAATTAATTGATTGATTTATATAAATTTTAATATCAATTAAACAATTTAATTGATTAATATAAAACAGATCGGGTGCAATTTTTTGGTGCTATAATATTTGTGTAAAAAGGCCATTTACTACTTATTTTGTTAACAACAAGTTTTTGCTTTTTCTTTTGTGAATATCTCATTAATTATTAACGGTGCTGTGGGAGCAATTTCAGATTCGGAAGGATCTAATTGGGAGCAATTTTTTGAGATATAAATCCGGTGTCTCTAAATTAAGTGTCTCTAATTCTCGAAATTCGAAACTTTCTTGGGTTTCGAGGGGTTTCGAGAAACTCAACTCTAAAGAAAAACACCCCTTTTTTTATGATTTCTCTCTATACATACTTCGTTATCAATATTTAAAAAAAAAAATGGTCATATTAAAGTCAATCTTATATCAGCTTTTTATTGTTATGTACTAAAACCTAGGCAAATGTGTATTTCCATGTTTACTGATATTGACTATGAAACGTTTACATAAGTAGAATATTGATCGCAAAAAAAGAATAATATGGTACGAGAATTCTAATTATGAATAATTAATGACATTGGTCATGCTTGGATCGTAAATCTGCGTAACATAACTGCACGAAAGTATTATTTATTAACGTGAAGAATTGCGCCACCGTAAAGTCGCAGGCTTTAGTACAGCTGCAGCATAGGCATGCACTTCATTTGTTTATTACATCTGTTGAAACGTACAAAAATGTATAATAATGTGAAGAAATTGTAATATTTGTGCTTAACGAATAAGGAGTGTGTAACAATTAAACCTGACTGTAGAAAAATGATAAATTAGAGGTAAAATTGAATAGTTACATATAACAGTCAGCGGACAATGATTCTTGTTAGTGCGTTTGGAATCATTCTAATTATATTTGGTTTACTTCTTTGGTTTGAAGAATATTTGATGTCTTACATACTCTTTTCTACACGAGCGGTATGTTGTATTACTACTTCTTATACATACCATCAATAATGAATAATTAAATGAATTATAAGTATAATTGTAGAAAGACATAATGGATAGGAAAGGATGTCTAAAAAAATTGATTATCAGTATTTAAAACTCAAATGTATAATTTTTTAAATTTTCTTCTGGTTTTTCATGCTTTATACAAATTATCCTAAAAATATCTGGAGTGAGGATTATTATAATTTTCAGCAAATGTCATAATTAAATTTTTTTAAAAATTCAATACAAATTATGAAGCAAAAATTTACAGGAAGTAGTACTTATTAAAGGCACCGCTGCGTATGAAGCATGGATATCGCCTGTACATCTAACATATGCCTGTTATATATTTAATGTTACTAATCCTGACGAAGTCATGCAAGGAGAAAATCCGAATCTGATTGAATATGGGCCTATTGTTTATGAGTAAGTACGAAATATTTTTTAATTAGATTAATGTTTTACATTCTCACAAAGTTTGTTACTTGTGTTAACGACTAATCTCTGACTTCTGCTAAATTTATAGACGGCATATAATATGGTCGTAGGAACATTTTGTAACAACATTATATAGTTAACTTATTAAAAAACATATACGAATATACAAATCTTGAAACACTTGCTAGAGTGATGATTAATTTGAATAATAATATCTGTTTATTAACGTAATGTAATTTAAGAAAATAGATAAAATTATTTAACTATACAACTATGTGTACCGTTAAGTAAATCACTATTTCTTAATGAAATTGCAGCAAATATTGTTAAGGGTGCGTATGTTTTTATTTTTTTATAAACAAATGTGAAATTTGGTAAACAGAACAGAGGATCCTTTATTGGTACACATAATATATTTAAAATTTTGTAATTTCTTCCTCCTTTATTATAATCGATTAATAAGTCCGCAAATAAAATTTACTTCTTCATTCGCGTATCCATAGTGAAGTCATGAAGAGGAATATACTAGATATTGATGAAGAGGCGGACGAAATTAAATATACAACAAAAGCGATGTTCACTTTTAACAGACACAAAAGTGTGAATGTATCTTCTAGTGACAAAGTTACGATGTTAAATCCAGCATACGTAGGAACTATACTCATGGTAAGAAAATCAGGGCATAACATTAACGTTTCTATTCCTGACGAACATCTATCTTTTACAATTAGTAATTATCAAAAAAATATAAAAAATCAATTTAATTACTGTTGCTGACAATTTAAGTTTGTTCTTCCAAAAGTTTGTGCAATGCTTTGTTGTATCGACTGTGTGATTTCGTACATTGAACTGTTTTTATCGTAAAATCAATACAATTGACAACGTAATTAATCCTGAAAATTACCGTCTACACTAATTAAAACGCTTTCTTTTCTTACAAACACCGGCGATGACGGAAAAGTTAATGAAACAAAGAATGAAAATCAGGTTCACTGGAGCTCACTTCGTTTTTAGATTTTTATTTGTGATCATGTGAGAATAATATTATTTACTTCGTGGATTTCGGAAATCCACAAACCCCAAAAGAAAATATTATTCACGCGTTAAAATGATGATTCTTTGTGCATGGGTGTAACCAGGTTATCAGTCGGGGGGGGGGGGGCAAAAATATTAACACATCGATTGTGACAGTGAAAAAGGCTGTATGTAGCCAGACATACTTTATTTTGTTTTTAATGTCATAGATCGTTGAAAATGTATGCGTTTTGTTAATAGAGGCTGTTGGTCGTGTTTTAAATTGTACTGCAATATTAAATATTACGCACAAATTTTATAACTCTGGAAAGGGTGGGGGGGGGGGCAAAATCCAATGTTTTTCTTGTAGGATGGGGCAAAAGCCCCTTGGCAACGCCCATGTTCTATGTGTATAATTAACAACACTTTCAAGAATTTCTAAGTTAATTGAACAAAACAAAACATTTATAAATGCATACCTTATTCTCCTTATTTCAAATTAAACACTGCTCAAAACAATTAGAAGATCATCCATTGCATTTACTGTGTCCGTCAATACCACGTATAAGTCCTGAAAATTCTATTATGGAATTGAAACTTGATATTGGTATTGTACGCAAAAAATGTAAATATATCAGACCCATAAGCATTTGTTTCGTTTCTTTGGATTAGGTGAAGCAATAGGAGTTCACACGTTAGAGATTTTTTAATTGTTTTGGGCAGGGTACTTCGTATCAGAAAAAAGAATATGAAAATTATGATAAGGAACTGTGATAAACGGAGATAAGTGCACATGAACTAGGTAAATATGTAGCGCTGTTTTTATTAAAAATGAAATTCTACACAAAAGAAACTTATTTTATATTTTCTGCTTATTTCTATGTAAAATCGATATTTCTCTTTCAAACCTTTCAATTTTTTTGAATTTTTCAAAATAATTTAACGTAACAGAGTCAGGACATTTGAATATTGTTCATAAAAAAATATCAATTTAACGTTATTAATAAAGTAATTTCCTATAAAACTTTTTTGAACAGTTATCGAGTTTACCTCCTAACTTTATGCAAAAATACGGCAACAGTATACCAAAGCTTTTTCCAAATCGTAGTAGTATTTTCTTAAAAGCACGTCCTCAAGATATACTTTTTAATGGAGTGAAAGTTTCGTGCAATGAAAAAAAATTTCCGGAATTGAATCTCATATGTAAGACGTTGAAAAGTAAACGACCGCCAGTATTAAGGGAAGGTGCCAAGGAAGGAGTTTATCTACTTAGTATGTTTCAAAAGGTAAGATTAAATATCGAGAATAAATAAAAGTATAATATGAGGACATATTCAATGTTATGTATCCCTTAAATACTTATATGACTATGTATTACAATCTAATGCAAAGTTTTAAAGCTTTAATGTTTGAGTATCTTCAATTCACAGTAAGTGACACATTATTTCCATAACGGTACCAAAAAAATAATATTCAGTTGGTTATTAAAAGCGTTACAATAAACATACATAGTTGTTGTCGGATTATTCGTCTCAAGGACGAGCGATCTGTAATTAGGGGTTAACAGAAGTATTGAGTTATATAAATAATACAAAAAGTACAGAGCCATTCATAAATTCGTATCAAAATTTAAAGAATGAAAAAACAGTAGGAAGTATATTGCATACACTTCAGATTTACACATGAAAATAAGAATGCTAATATGGCTATTAGATAAACAATACTATTCATGGACCATACACGGTTAACAGAGGTGTAAAAAATATAACGTTATTGGGTGACACGACATCTTACATGGGTGAGAGAGTGCAACAGATATGGGGTTCTGAAAGTTGCAATAGTGTAAGAGGAACCGATACGATTACATGGCCACCATTAGTAACACCATTGCCTTTCGTGTCAACGTTTATAGGGGACTTATGCAGGTATAGTAAAATTTTCAATGTACCAAAGATTGTTTCCATGAAACAGTTAAATAACGTTGTAATGACTATCGACTAAACATAATATGTACTGAGCAATCATTTGTAAATTTTTGGGAAAATACGATTAAAACGTAGTGTTATGCCGTATGGCATTATAATCTTGCCATTATACATGAAAATATTAACTTTTTCTAAAAGTCATTTGTGTGTTATACTTGGCTGCTATTGGTGATAGGAAAAAATGCATCAGGCCAAAATTATTTGGTATCGAGGGACTGATCATCCGATGTTACTAGTTTTTTGATAGGTGGAGGCGTCAAGGAGATATGAAGGTCATCTCTGTTTTTTTAAATGGAACGGTATGTTTTTTACTTACATTCTGATAGAGTATTTCAAGATGAATACAATGACCTATTGGAAAGGTCATTCATGGTCTGGGTTAAGCCAATTGTGATGGAAAATAATTTACTTACCTTTCCAATAGGTCATTGTATTCGTCTTGAAATACTCTATCAGAATGTAAGTAAACAAATATACCGTTCCATTTAAAAAAACAGAGATGACCTTCACATCTCCTTGACGCCTCCGCCTATCAAAAAACTAGTAACATCGGATGATCAGCCCCTCGATACCAAATAATTTTGGCCTGATGCATTTTTTCCTATCACCAATAGCAGCCAAGTTATTCAGGTGGCCGGTTTTACGTGCCTCACCCTGTATAAAATTTCAATCAATCTTGTTGATAGACCTTGTATAAGACTTCCCCATATTTTTTAAATATTGAATATACTTATTAATACATAGTATAATTATACGTAACTAATGTGTGTAACACGTGTATTATACAAACGATAGGAGCCTGCAAGCTGATTATGACAGTGATATTTCGATACACGGTATGACCGGATCGAAATTTGTAATGAAGGAACGCGTTTGGTACCTAAACGAGTCGCAGTGTTACTGTCCTGTAGTGAACAAGAAAGTGGAATGCTTGCCGCTAGGCTTGGTCGATTTATCAAAGTGTCAGGTAACTTTGTAATTAATTGTTATCAGACTGCGGATATTCATGCAAATATAGATTCCTATATTTTAATTTACCGAAACTGAAATCAAATAGAAAATCATCTACTCTATTAAGAACTCTTAGGTTCTAAACAAAATAAAAACATCCATTGTACTTTATTAAACTGTTTGCTTTATTGAACTTTTGATACCTGAATCTACTGCAAATGCATGAAATTCACAATTTAATAACGATATACAGTTTATTTCATTTAGTGCTCGACGATTTACAGGAAGCACCTGTAATATTTTCGGAACCGCACTTTTTGCACGGTGATGTGGAACTTCTAACGTATGCCCGTGGTTTAAAACCCGTCGAAAACCTTCATTCGACGTACATTGTCATCGAACCACATACCGGAGTCCCACTTTCGGGGGCAAAGAAATCACAATTAAACATGAAACTGACTAAGCAACCAGTGGATCTTCTCTCTAATGTCAGCGAGGGATATTTCCCTCTCGTATGGTGCGAAGAAGTAAGAATTTTTGAGACATAATCGTGCATTAATATTTCAAAACTCGTACTTTTCTCTACCAATATACATAATACACACCTACATAACTTAAACAAAACTAGAAAGTATTCAATTACATGATTGTAAAGAAATTTTCTATACTGCATTAATCATTTTAATTAACCTATTATATTTAAAGAGTATACAACATACACTCCCGCTCATAAGTTTCCGGGCACTTGTAGATTCGTATGTAGTAACTGTACATAAATGATACTGAAATTTGTAAATTAATATTTAATGTCGATTTTTCTAACGTTTTCATTACGTAAATGTGTTTAGAAATTTAAATCATGCACTTAAAATACTCAGCAATATTGTATTAAAGTTAAATATGTGATCCCATGGTGTACACGCGGCTTGTAGAATAACATTGCTTTAATGAATAGGTATAATCTCTCTATCAGTTCTTGGATTGTCAGTAAATTATCGTGTCTTAATATTCAGAGGAACCCTTTATATCTTATGTCCTAGTTTATGTTAAGAATCTGAATCTGAAGAACATTTTAGTAAAAGCTCATAGACTACCTGTGAACAATGCTGGCAGCCAGTTCTCCGACTCTCCGGAGACACTGAAAGACTTTGTCACAAATGTCGTAGGTGTAGACGGCCCTTAAAGGACGCCAATTATTCAATATTATTTGAAAAGTTTCTGTACAAAACTGGGTTTTGTTATATCACCATACTCTGTTATGGGTAGCTATAATACAACATTAACAAAAAGAAATAAAATCAGTTTAGGAGCATACATGATTTAAATTACGTTCTATTAAAAATAAGCAATTGTCCGGGCACTATGGAGTGACAGTATATGCGTGAGACTCTGACTTTTTAAAAAATATATATTACTAGAAAATAACACTAAGAGAATTTAAAAACAATTTTCATTGTTCAGAATATTTTATTTTCTTGATTTTTTTCTTTCCAAAGTATGTGATCTCTTTTCGTCACTTCGTTGTTTATCAAAATATGTATACACGTCTATAAACACAGGATTTTATCGTATTATAAGTAGAAATTTAAAATAAACTAGAAGATAATTAAACGGAGAAATATTTTACAGGGAAGTACGCCAACATTAAAGGTAGTGGGGTTATCGTATCAAACGATGCGATCGGTACGTCTCGCCATGTTTCTGCAACGTTTGCCTTTAATCGTTGGTATTTACATGGTCTCTGTCAGCTTATTTCTATGTAAGAATACACGATCCAAAGTGGAACCGACGCGTTCAATGATACGATCAACACTAATGTCGTCGGACCAGCAACCATACAATTATTCGCACAGGCCACCACGATGGCATACAAACGCGTTCGAGAGATTTCAACGCATGTAGGTACCCTGATTCGTAGAATGGAAAACATTCACAAACGAAATAACGACCTATGTAAAATTAACGGCAAATACTTATTCTTGTCAATTGCTTAAACATTTTCGTATTACAATTAGATGTATCAATACTTAATCCACTATCTCTTAAATAACAAAAAACCCCTTACAATTGATCAAACTGAAGGCTTGAAAGATATTTTAAATTTCAAGAGTATTCTCAGCTTATTGAACAAATAGTCGTTTGCACATTTTTTTGTATACCTAGTGAAATATTCTCGTAACTGTTAAATCCTCTGTAAAGTTGATGAGAAGAGTTTAACAAATTTTCATTTTATATCGAGTTTTATCCGAATAGGAAACATTTATAAAATTAACTATTTTATATAAAGGCATTATAATTGCACCATTTGCTTACTGGTAAAGTGATTATTACTAATTATACTGTACCCTGTATTTACAAGGGCTGACACATTGGCAGTCACACAATATAATATTTGTAACCATCATCGGAAGTATAACATTACAATTAAATATTTTCATATACTACATGTTTATACACGAGCAGGTAAATCCTTGTTTTTCCTTGTATAAAAAATAATTAAGTACATATTCAAGTCATTCATTTTCGTTGTTAATGTTTACTGCTACTCTTGAGTACGACCACAGATATATATTACTGAAGATATATATAACTGTATATATATTACTGAACGATCGTCGCGTCGTCAGCGAACTCTTAACCCATTGACGAACGCAGGTTTTAAGGTCCTTACATAGCTATCGTCGTGTTTCAATTAAAAAATTTAAATCGTTATAAATAGACGAAGTCATATTCTTATTTTTCCTAAGCAACCTGCACAATTGAGAAAAAAATGAATATTTGAAACGGTAATCTCAAAAATTGCGAATCAACGTCGTCAGTGGATTAAGGTACGTTTTCGCATGACAAGTCATGGCTTTTGCTGTCATGGCACAATGACACGGCGTCGAGTGAAGTAGTTCATGCAGTTGTCTGCGTTTGTTATCGAAATTATAACTTTTGAAAGCTACTGAATTAGTAAGAAATTCATTATACTATAACATAATAGGCAATCTACCTATAAACACTACAAATTGTATAAACACGGTCAAGACAATGGACAATATAGTTTTCACCACGTACAATAGGCGATAGTGTCTGAAAAATGTTACATAACAATTACAATGCTCTGATTTTGTGACTTTAAAGTCGCAACACGAAATCCAATAGCACAACATTTTAGTTTTCATGACAACAAGAGTCATGATATTTCGTGTCGTGACAGTAATAATCGCAATTTACCGTCACTTGGAAACGTAACTGTACGGTCACATGTATGTATTTTTTACATTCCTTTCCGACACGTATGCATATGTATTATTTACAATAAATACTTATTCTATTCTCTATTGTCCTACAAGTTGTCACTTTCTCTCAGTTATCCCCATTGAGATCGTACAAAAAAATACTGAGCAAGACACCAAGTAACGATTTTCAAAACTGATTTAACATTAACCGAACTGACTATGATATTACGCGTGTCTAAAAACCAATACTTAGGTAGGCAATAAAAATAAATACAGAATGTACAGTGACAAATTCTCAAAATGAATGCTTCGTATCTGAATGATTGTAATTGTAAGCAAATGTTATGCTTACTGTACGAATATTGGAGAATTATTTCTACGAATCCGAGGTCCCAATGATTTCTTGGTCGAAAGAAATCGTTTATAAGAGACATGAGTCTTTCCACGTAAGAATAAAGTAAATTTCGAGTGTCACTTAACGATAACTGTCAATTATGTTCACTATGGACGTCCACGTGCCGAATATCAGCGCGAACATCGAAAACAACAGAAGCATACAGTTCTTCCAGAGCCGCCATTTGTAGGCGCCCAGGTGGCCCTCCCAGCACGAAATTGTTTCCACGATCGCTGGGATGCTGATCCCGAGAACGGAGAAAAACACTGCACCGACCAGAGAAATAAATGGTTCCAGATTCGGGACTAGCAACGCCACGACAACTGTAAAAAGAAAAGAGAAAATTTTCATTCAATACATTGAACGATAATACTAACCAGACTTGTTCACAGAAGAGACATGCTGTGATTTATTTCTAATTAAGTTATTATAATTTAAAATGACCTCGAGCCTATTTCACAATAATTTACCAAGTAATAATGTTATTGGAATTACAAGTTATAAGTTGTTGATTGTAGATATCTGTTGCACAAAGAGTTTTTAAAACTTTATAAGTTACAAATTAAATCACTACTAATCACTGTTCACTGCACGATGAATACCATTTTAGAAGTTACAGAAAACTTGCAAAATTTTTACAAGTCCTAGAAAACTGATAATTTTGTTCACAGTTTATGTCTCTGAATATTGATTAGTGAATTTTTTATTGATTGTGTTAATTTTAAATATTTTAGTAGTGGTTGATAATGTTGGGTTTTTATTGTTTATGGCTAAATGGTCCAAATTGTAATAAGTTTTTATGCTGTTTAACACGCACAACTTTAGTTTGCGTTGATTTTCACAGTTACCCATTTTCAATTAAAGAAAATATATTTAGCTGTATTAATCAGTCATTCATTTCTATCAAGGTGGGTATTACTTGAAAATATTAAATAGGACAATCAGCAGACTCGCAATTTGAAAAATTTACTTATAGAACTCTACTTGTTTTATTAAGATATTTGTTATTATTGTGCAACATAATTTACTAATACTGGTAATTTGTAGTTTGTGACGTAAAATTTCACTAATGACATTAGTTTAATTGTGAGAGAGGGCCCTGGTAGTACCTTCCGAACTGAAAATATAAAATATGTGTAATTTGTTTGCGGATATTTATGTAAAGTCACGTTTTTCGAAGATTATTTTGAAAAACAAAGATTAAATAGAAATTCATTCTTTGCGTTAAATACAATAATGTCTATGTTAAACGACATTGAACTCAGTATTTCATTGTATTTTATGAAGTTACATGAATATTAAAAAAACTCATATAGTTACTTAAAGATTCAATAATTTCTATATACTTCTTCTGAATCATTCTTATATCTGTTCCAATATTTGCTGGAGAATTAGAATCATCATTTCTTGAAACGAGTAATTTCTTTCGCTTATTACCATATAAAACCAAATTGAAATATTCAAAGGAAAATGTGTACTTTGATTATATGAGCTTTTCATCAATATTTGAAATGAAAACGTGAGAAAATTCATGAAAATATAATTACAAACAAAGAATAAAAATGACTTCAAAATTTTTGTTTTTCCTTCTCTTAATTACAACTGTTCAATTTTGGCTAAAATTATGAAATTAAACAGTGCAAAGTGGCGAGGGAAATATTATAAGTATAAAGAAGTGAATTACACAATTAAAATAAGGTACTAATAACGATAATAGTATAAGGAATCTGTAGTAAATGTACCGTTCAGAAAACTTGTTATCCACCTGAGAATATAATTTTCTCTTGAGTTAAAAGGACAGTATTAATGTTTAGAAATTCCGTAGAACATAAGAGACATTAATGCAGGTATTTAAATTCAATTATACATATCATTATTAATTCCACGGTTAAGAGAATCAACTATGTCTGCTGATTTTACATCTGTCGTAAATAAAAGAAAGACGGCCGTCGCATTCAGAAGTCAGAACGCCAGCCACGTAAATATTAGCCCACACTTAGATTCTCAATAAGCTGAACGAGCACGAGTCACTGAACGGTGCTCACGACTGGCAGTGAGTCATGCGGTTACAGAGCCAACAGGTATTTCCCCTGGCCCAGTCCGCCGCCACCTTTCCATTACAACTGTGTGCTTCTCTCTTTCTTTCTTAGGAAAGTAACACGCGCGTCTGGTATACACGTTGAGGCTAGACCAGCAATAACCAGAAGTGTAATCGCGACGATATTGAAACATTCGCCGGTTTTATCCATTACCATTATCCGAAGCAATTTATTCCGCGAACGGTGAATTCTAACTGATAAATCATAGTCGGAAGGATGATGTATAATTAACGGGAATGTAAATACAGTAGTAAAATTTCTGCTATTCTAATGAAACGAAAGAGATATGGAAAATATGGTATTCGAGCACTGTGATTAGATGTTTTATTAGGTTTTTGCGTAATAAATGTCGTTTTTCTATTCGCTTTATTTCAACCATGTTAATTTTCATGAAACTGGGATCAATGAACTGGTAACTTGATTGCAAAGATATGTTCAATCAGATGGATCGTACTTCGACTTCATTTTAAAAACAAGTTATAATCATCTACTCTGTAAAATGAAGTTATACCTTATCATTGCATATTTGAAATCCAAAACGACATTTATCATCAGCAGCCTAATATAAAAGTTTAGGAATGTAGAATTATTCAAAATGTGACATTTATATATGTATACATATATAGTAGTTTTGTAGGATTGAAAAAAAGTAACGCTTTGACTATTGTTATATGTATACTTTTTTACAATCCAACAAAATACAATATACATAAATATCATTGCGATTTTAATATTTTTTTGTTTATAAATAATTTCCTTAACGTTAATCGCAAATTATTATGTTTGTATATTATACCCAAATTTGTGTTATATGATGAATTTGTAAAACAAAGAATCATATTTTTAACAGTCATCACTTTCTTATGTATCCAAGTGTCGTTTATAATATTATTGTTGCATTAGTGCTATGTATATTAGTAAACAAAAGAAAAGACTAATACAAAAATTCTATTCTTTAATATAAGGAGAAGTAAACAAATTTCACCATAGAAATTTAAAAAAGTAATACTGAATTAACAATAAGTAACTAGCAATGTTTCATGAGGTATGGAACGGATATGTATATGGAAAATGGAATATTAGAAACGAGAAAATTACTTGCCTGTGAAAAGGACCATGAACACCCTCATTAGAGTTTCACATATGCCTTGATATTTGTGACTGCATTTGTCCTTCATAGACTCCCACATGATTTCCAATGGTACGAAATACTGGAGTCCATAAGTGAACAGAACCGCTAAAGCGATAAGTATTTTAACTATTTGTCCCAAACTGTAAAAAAAAGCATGTTTTACTTATACGACCTCTTCATTTTCGTGGATTATCGAAGTTCATAGTTAGACTGCAGGTGTTTATACATTTACAGTGTTTGTTAACTTGAAAAGCTCAATAAAATAAAGGTTCATATAATGTCTAATACTATTTCTATGTTATCATTAACGTAGTGAATCCTCTTGTACAGAAATCAAAATTGTGTATCATTTTAATCTTTGGATGTTAGTACCGGAAATTGTTAAATTGCATAAACTTCCGTAGTCTATTCATACCTACCTACATCTTTCACAGAAATAGTGCTCGAAAAAAAAATTAAGCGACAGTAAAATGTAATATTATTAATCTACGACAAAGGTTTCTTAATGAATTTTTAACGGTAGTAAATTAGGGAATGTAAATAAATCACTTTTTATTTTTCTAAGGACTATGTATCATAAAATTGTAATACTTCTAAAAGTTCTAAAAGTTCTAACTTATACGGAAGTCATTTGGAAGCAATGATTTATCAATAGTACATATCTAACGTTTTCAGCAAAAATAGAATAAAATAATTTTAATTTGTCTGAAGAATCAATCGTATTTCAAATTCATAATCAGTCACGTTAAGATTTTTATGTTTACGTAAAATGCTATAGAAGTTCTAAAAAGATTTCTATTTTAAAGCAATTGGTTAAGTCGTCCCTTCCTTACTTTTGTCAAGGTTTTAAAGAACTTACACGTCGCTTATAGGCAGATTCAATGTGATGCTGCCCGATAAGATTTCTCCGTACGTCATGTAACCGAACACACCCAATATAGCATAAAGGGACACCACTATCGACATCGTAATGTTAAGGACACCAGGACATCCAAGGAAGTGATCCGGATTTCTCATGGTATTCTCCACAGGCATCACCTATGCAAAATTAATTCCATGAAATAATTAGAAGAATTACATTGTTTGCTTAATGAAGTACGTATTAATTAAATATACTTCGTCAATAAATATTTTCATGATTGTCTTGTCGGTGATATTAATTGTTTGCAGCTAATAGTCGTATTTTAATATGAAATAATACATTTTATATCTGACGCATTTACTATTAAAATATTGTATTTGTATAATTTTATATCTATTGTCGTATATATAGTACTATTTTACAAATTTAAGAATTAAGTAGTTCTCATATTATTGACAATATATGTACACTAACGGTCAACAATACGAGACGAGAACTTGAAATGAAACAAATTAAAACAAACTATTTTTTAGAAAGATTTCATAAAAGTTATGAAATTAGTAAGTATAGAAATCATTCGCATTCAGCTTTGGGATATTAGTTTTATCAAATCTTTTAGGTTGTTGCACATGAAATGGGTGATTTTACTGACAGGTATATTTGACGTTACTTTTATGAATGAAAATTATTAACATACTTCTTTTCTTTCTTGCAAAATTATACAGTGTATTTGATTCGTTTCAAGATACTACATATTTAACAGAGCAATAAAATCAATTATGTTAAACAATAAACTTAATTAAGGTAGAGAATCAATCTCACAATCAATAAAAGATAGTCATTTAAATCAAATTCATAAATAACCTTTAAAAGATGCATGCAAGTTTCTGCTAAAAAAGATGGCAGCTACAAGTATCTTCGAAAAGTCATCCTCAAATTCAGTATAATAATTATATAATGAATCTAACATGAATATAGCACTTGTACTTCAATAAAAAAAAATCACGTATAGATTCTATTTAATCTTACTTCGTCCAATAAAATTCGTATAATATTCAGTATACACAAATATCAAATGCCGGTAATAAGACGATCATTTCATGTGCAATAATCTAGTAGAATAATATTTTCCATCATAATTAATTGTGAAACATGGTCTCATTTTACATATACATATAATATATGCATGTGAAAGTATGAATGTATTGAATATATCTCTGTTTAGGCTTTCGATTGTTTAAATGTCCGTAAATAGTTTGAAACATGAATTCTTCTATAAAGAAAGCAAATGTGCAATGAAATATATTCACTTATGAAAAATGATACTTACAACGCCGATGCCTTCAATCGCAAATATCACTGTCGCGAAAAACGTCGGTAACTGCGTGACTGACGAGAATAATTTCACGTGGACGGTGTTTTGGAGACCGCTAAAGATGTAGTACAGCGTTATCACGAAGCCGACCATCATGCACATATTGGCGATCATGGACACCGGAACCATGTACTTCAGATTTCGTACCTGGCCCAAAAGCACGACCGCTGGTATCAACGCGAGTATGTAAAGGCGAAGCGATATATCCATACCGCTGTAATAATTCGCCACCTAAAATCAAACGGAATAATATTATTCAATAAAAATCGGTCAATAAAATCAATAGACATTAGTAGACAGCGGATATTTATGCAAATTCAGATTTTTACAGATTGATTTATTGAACTGAAATCAATTTGGACATTCACTTCCTTTAATTAATCCCTCGCCTTGCAACATCGAGTCAGACACGTGATAACGACTTCAAACTGAATTTACATAATATGCTGATATTAACATTTAAGGTTCGGAATAAATGAAACATTTGCTATAAGAATAAAATTCCTTTTGGATCTGGGAAAATATTAAGGATAAAGTAATTCTTGAGAGTGAAGTCATAAAAAAGGTCGTATGGGAAAGGGTTAAAGGTATTACAAGGTTCAAAATAAGGAAAAATATATAGTAATTTGTACTGAAATTTGTATTATATTGTGTTTTACACATTGATATTTGCGATATATGTATAAAATCAGTAGTCTAGACATCAATAATACTAATAAAAATGGAGTACAGTTGCTGCTAATCGAGACTGACTAATTAGACTGTGGACTTTTATGCAAATTTACGTTTTTGGAGATTAATCTATAACAGTGGAAATTGGGTGAATATGCTGTTACGTTTCTCATTAAACATTTTACTAGGATAAAAGTAATATAGAAGTAATTTATCATGCTCTGTGTCATATATTTGCGCATGCAATAAATGCATGAAATCTGCTGACTAATGATAGTTATCGATTGTCAATCAGAAATACAGTAGACACATACTAAATATTTGCGTTAAGTTTGATGATAGAAGAAAATGACACAGAGGAATCTTGTACTGTTCAAGAAGGTAAACATGATGGTGTAAACAGATTGTCCTTGCGCCATATTCAAACCCACTCAAAGCGTCAGTATTGTTTTTTAAATAGACTTTACCTTATTTTCGACTTTATAGTATTGTGATCAGTGTCAATAAGAATTCAATGAAACATGATAGCATGGTCTTTACATGACTTTTTATTTGGAAATTTAGCAAACAATGGAAACATTGAAGTATACAATCAGATTTTCTGAACTTACCAGATTTACTAAGTCCAATTTATATGTCTAATGTTATTGAACTCGTACTGACGTTGACTGTAAAGCTACGAATTAACAAATACATGATGTTTTCAAGGAAACATTGGAGTCTCTAACATAATCATGATGATGAATATGTTTGGAGAATAACCTTTTTAGACAAACACTGTTTTTTAACAATTAGCCAATTTCTGCTATCTTCCGGCCTACCGAAGCTATTTATCTATTCCAGATAGCTCACTTTGTGCATTATAAAAAATCTCTTAATAATTATGAAGCAAAGGTAAATAAATCATTCTTATATATTCTTGAATCTACTATAATCTAACAATAAACATTTGAAATACATTCTTCATTCTTAATATAAAAAACTGTTTAAATGTATTTCAAATGTATTTGATAATAATATTGAATAAGATTAAAATGAGAAAAGAACTTCTTTGTACCAAAAAGTAATGATTAGACTGCGGATGTTTATGAAAATACAAGTTTTTATCGTGTAATGTTCAAAAATTGAAATCAAGCAGAAATTCCTTTATTCTATTGAAGGTTCTATTAAGTTAGAAGTAAAATAAAAATCTCAATGAACTATATGAAACAACTGTGTACTCTATAAATGCATAAAATCTCCAATCTAGTAACGATCTACTTATTAGTTTCCGTGTGTTAGGAATTCTTTATAATGATGGGGTTCGTGTTTTCGGCTGTACGCTTGTTCGAAACCCGTTCAAACAGGGTGCAATTATCTCGTACTTGCAGACAAACAGGTAGGCCGGATTCTACAGGTCAATCGAGTCGGTACAAGTCTTGAGGCGACGCGTTGACACAGATTTTCAATTGTGATCAAGGAAAAAAAGTGAAAGATGCACGTGTAACGATGAACGAGAACGAATGAAAGGAGGCGGACGCAGATTAAACTAGCTTCAAGATGTTTTGATTTGATCGTACAAGATAAAGGTTTCTTGTACATATACTAACGTATTTAGTGTAAAATATATTTTTACTAATCATGGAGAAAAATAGAACGACATTGTAATCTTTGACTGACAAGGGAACACCGCGAACGTTGACTCCCAGATTGGAATGAAACTTTGTGGATTTATACAGGGTGTAACATAAATGTTGTCCGACCCGGAAATGGGACACTCGGGGGGTGAATTGGAACAACTTTTTCCTTAGCAACAATGTAATCTGAGGCTTCGTTACCGAGATATTAATGAAAAACCCCGACCAATCAGAGCGCGAGTTTGCCAGCCGAGTTCCCGCGCTAGCGGTGGCCGCGCGCTACGTTTGTACTACGAAGCTCTGAACAAGTAGATCAGCATACATCGCAGGAAACTGCTTATAATACCAAATAAAAAAGACGTAACAAATAAAATCATAATTTTTATCATCTGTCGTTTGTTATTTAAAGAGATTAATGAATGTAGAGTGACTTAAGATAAGAATAACAGTACATTTCATTCGCGCTCAATCGCCCTTTAAGGGTGTGAAAATTAACCCCAAAGTCAAATGGCAATTTCACTTTTTCGCGTATAACTCTTGAAGTACAAGAGATATAAAAAAAATGTTTTAAACAGAAGTTTAATGGTAAAATAAGCGTTATAAACTGACGTTAATAAAATTTTGAAAATAGTGTTTTAAAATTTTCTTTTTAAGAGAAAATACTTTTTTCCAAATTTTGTAAACGGGAGTTTCTAGCACTTATTATTCCATTAAACTTTTATTTGAAACAGTTTGTTCTATCTTTTGCAGAGTGCCTATCTGAGTTTGGGGTTAGTTTTACGCCCTTAAAGGGCGATTGGGCACAAATGAAACATACCGGTATTCTTGTCTTGAGTCACTCTATAAACCCACAAAGTTTCATTCCAATCCGCGAGTCAGCCTTCGCTGTGTTTCTGTGTAAGTGAAACAATAATATTAAAATACATATCGTTATTTATTTTCAAAATGCAGAAGATAAAAAATAAACAAAGAATAGAGCAAATACTTAATTATTTTGAAATATTTAACAAAACAAATTTTTGAAATTATTCGTGTCACCCATAGTGCGCAGAAAAATTAAAAATATATTTTTTGACTTTACTTACACAGTTTTTTTTACTTTCATATTTCAAGCAATTTAAAATTACTGTTTATTCAACTAGAACACGAGAACATTTATTATTTTCTAATAATTTCGTGAACTTTTGTATTCTATTTTTTTAGCATATAGGTAAAACAGTGTTTTTCAGTTTCAGTCCATGTGAAAATAATTGTTGTAGCGATTGTGTTATCTCCTTTGTGGACTTCCTGAAAAGGGTAGTATTCACATTCGAAAGCGCACAATGTATAGAAACTTGTATTTACTTCATAATTTATAAGACTGCGAGTCCAATTTGTAATACATAATGAAGTCTTTAAAGGGTCTTCACTTCTACTTCAATTATAAAAAAATTAATAAGTATACTATGTTAAAATAGTTGTGAGTTGTTTATGAATAATGAATTTATTCGTATATTGCTATTAAATAATAGTGTGTACTGCCTAGCTTCGATCATCCTTACATATAAAAGCATAATTTAGTAATCAGATAAGAAAAAACTAAATTGAACATCCAAGATTAACTAAAAATGAACAAATAACATATATTCATTAATGATTCAAGAATGAAGAGTATCACTATATCAGAGTTAAAAACGTGCATGTGGATGTATTTGTACAGAGTGAATCGTACAACTTGATCACCTTGACTATTCCCCCAGCGTTACTGAATTAATTGCATTTAGTATTTCCTTGGTAAATTTGTTCCAGGAGTGACCTCAAGCCACTTACAATACACTATTTATAATTTTCTCGGAATTCGTTGTTTCAATGAAACCGTAATATGTATTTTGTTTGCACTTATTTTTTATCAAAGTATTTCATTATCAAATCGAAAAAAAAATCAAGAAGGAGGCAAAATTTCGGAAACGCTAAAGAATACTGAATCGTGAAAGTCATAGATAAAAATTTGTTTCTCATTATACGTAAGTATCTGGTTCTTTATTCGTTAAAATTATCGATATCAGTGACGTTATACTATTCAATTTACGGTATCAGCGCGTTTTTGACACTCAATTTTGCAGTTTTTTTATCTAAATTCGTGTTTATCAAGTATATTGAGTATGCCATTTATGTAGACAATTTTAAGCTACCGACAGACTGTTTGTACTGTGGAATAAACGAAAAAATGAAATAATATTAATGATAAATTTTTATTTCGCAAACTTTGCGTGGGCCAATGTTGTATTATCATTGTAAATTTCTTGTTAATTAACCAACTATAATAATTGTAGGCCGAACATTGCATATTCGTTGGCAAAGTGTCATAACTTTTTCGTAGTCGGCCCTATTTTGGGAATTTGTAAGCAAAAACACTAACTACATCCCAACTAACTCCCGACTGTTGGATACCGTTGGCCAACCATAAATGCTACTAGGGCAGTATCACGATACCTTGTATAGTTATAAAAAAAAATTGGTAAAAGTCGTAAAATCGTCAATTTATTCATGCCGTTCTAACAATTTGATCATCAGCTATAAATGGCTGACAATGCCACATACGTTGAACGGATGTAAGGCCAAACATGTCGCGCTCAAGAACAAAAGTGGTTCGGATGCAAGGAGATCTTACCTGATGAATCGAGGTCGCTATGAAGACCACGTACACGCATGCGCCACCCACATACGTCGCACACAATGCGGCATTTACAAATATTCGACTGGCGTTCGCAAATGGCCGGATTGGTTTCGGTCCACAAAGAAACGCTGCTTCCGCGGTCTCCGCGTACGTCATCCGCGGTGTTTTCGTTCGCCTGCAGAGCACGTGGGACGAACGGACAAGTATGTGAACACAATGGGCGCATATGAACCCGATTATTAACGTCCAGATACCGCCGAACAAAAGCCCGCCGTTTTTGATCGCGTACGGCATCGCGAGGATACCTGTGCCCAGGGACGATTTCAATAGATGGGCCAAAGCACCAATATCGCTGTAACATAAATATATTCCAGGTTACCATTAATCATTCGAGATTGAAAAGTTTTTGATGATCGAATGAACGGCGGTAAACTTGGGCTCAGATAGACCCTTACTCATCTGGCATTTAGATTTGGTTTGGCACGCATTTCTTTAGGATATGCTGGTCTCCTTATAAAATGCTAATATAAACTAATATAAGCTAATATACAGGGTGTAACAAAAATGTTGTCCCACCCGGAAATGGGGCATTCGAGGGGTGAATTGGAACAAGTTTTTCCTTAGCAACAATCTAATCTGAGGCTTCGTTACCGAGATATCAACGAAAAATCCCGACCAATCAGAGCGCGAGTTTGCCAGCCGAGTTCCCGCGCTAGCGGTGGCTACGCGCTGCGATTTGTAGCCAACGCTACCGCGGGAACTCAGCTGGCAAATTCGCGCTCTGATTGGTCGGGGTTTTTCGTTAATATCTCGGTAACGAAGCCTCAGATTACATTGTTGCTAAGGAAAAACTTGTTCCAATTCACCCCCCGAGTGCCCCATTTCCGGGTCGGACAACATTTTTGTTACACTCTGTATACTTGTACCCTTTAGTTAGTTTCTATAGGGTGAAGTGATATGTAAAATTTTGGAAATCTTGGGTCAAATTGTACCCAGACACCATTGGAGCAGGGTTCAATAATTTATTATCCAGCTGTTAAACTAGTTTTGAAACAATAATATTGGGTGTAAGGGAAAGTTCTGTCGTCTTGAAACGAATCCAAGCTTTTTAAAGTGGTCTAATGCTGCTGTTTGGTGAACCCGAGCATGTTTCAAATATCAATAGACGTTTATGTTTGTTTCCTCTCTTTCATTATACGTGAAACACGATTAGCAATATATGTTGGTCTTCCTGACCTGGTTTTATGTTTTGATGAAAAATCAGCATTTCAACATTTTTCCAACCATCTTTAGCAGGTTCTTGAGGTTACTGTGGCTTTGTCAAATACACCACTATTTTGTTGCTGCTTGCATAACATTGTTTCCTTTCTAATACTCATACAATTTGCAGTGTCTCCAATGTTCTTTTGAATCACACATTTTGAAACAGATTAATATAGAAGATAATTAATTGAATGGACTTATTTCTATTATTGAATGCAATAGGACAGTTAAGCTTAAAACTGTCGTAAGTTTCGTTTAAATACCTGTTACCATCTATTGGTAAGAAGCTCTGACAGTTGACAAAATAAAAAACGACAGAACTTTTCCTAACATCCAATACATACTTGGAAGCTGTAGAACTCGACTACATAAGACTTGAAATAAGTGTCACTCGCCCAGAAAATTTAGTATCGGCAAGAAACAAGGCGCCAGAGTCCGTCGTAAGCAGCTTTTAAAAGAGGTATGATTAACCTTCTTTTCATAATTTTGTTGGCTTTTTAGGTTTTCGTTTAATACATGTGAATAAAATAACTAGGAAAGAAACAAAAACCACGAACATAGGGTCCAAGTCCATATTTCGAGTTTAACCTGTTAACACTCGGTTGGTTCACTGGGTCGAAATGACCCAAAATTTGACTTTGAAGTAAAATATCTTTGAGGCAACATTGAACATGGTACTATTGGCGATGTGTAGTAGTAATTTCAGGTATTTTAAAAGAAACTTTTTTTTCGGAATTCTGTTTTTTTGTTCAAATTTTGTTTAACCCTTGGACTACGAAAGGCGTATATATACGGCCTCCAATATTTGTCTTACTATAACACATTTACTGTTTTACTAAACTGATCTAACATAGAATTTAGATTTTTTTTTATTTGTCCATTTTTTTATGATACCTTAAATGTTAATTTTTTACAATGAAAATATATTCTCTAATGTTCAAACTTTATCTCGGAATTTTTGCAACTTAATACGACGGATTGTTTTTAAACAGCAGTTGACTGAAAATTGGCTTCGGTCGAATCGATCCAGTGTGATAACTACATTCGAAAAAATGTGTGACAAACGAGAGTTAAAGGGTACCGACACACATGTGTATCTACGTTCAGTTTTTCGTTCATTCAAGGATGATTCCAAAAGATACATTGAACATTGTTCTGAATAAATATTCACTAGGAAATTCACAAAAAAAAGGAACATATCGTGCCAATTGATTGTCATTAATACTTATAAATGTATTCTAAATAAATTCGTTCCTAGAAGAGATTAAGCGATACGCAGGTCCAATTCACCATTCTGACGGCACAGACGATCCTGATGATCGATCAAGAGCGTGGACATTTTGGCCGAAGTGAACAAAAACCCCATGTTGGCCTTTTTTGTTTCTTTTCAACTTATTTTATTTACACATATCCATAAAGCTTAAATAATCGATCAAAATTATAAGAAGAAAGCTGTTTATGTCCATTTTCAGTGTTGCTTATGATGGACTGCGCCGCCATTTGTCAATTCTTATGAGGACGATTCTCATAACTTACAACCATCCTTTTTCAAAATTAACGCAATATCTGGGTAACTTCCCTTGTAAGTGTAGTAGTGAGTATTCACTACTTCTGTTAAGTCTGAGCAATATATTTTAATTAAAATAGTGATGTTTTACATGTGTATGTTCTATCGTTCCCCAAAACTGTAAATGTAACTAAGTATGCATTTTGAACTGCTGCACAAGTTGTTTGAAACGACTGCATCTGGTATCATCCACCTTTACAATTTTTCCAAAGCTGACCTTGTGAGTTGTTTTATTTCAACGATCGACACGAGCATTGAAAAGGCACCACTATACTTGATGCTGACATTTAAACCATTCAGACGTTTCAAAGACCTTCGAGAAGCGTTACTCACACGAGTATCACTATGTAGGTACATACATACACCGTATTCACTTTTGTAAAAACAGTCCCTGAAATTTCCTTATACAGATTACACTTTTAAAAGACTTCTCTATTTTTCTTCGGTCTGGGACCATTTAATGAATCATATGTAAATTTCCGGTTCTACGAAAGTATGTGAAGTGAAATAAGAAAAAAACGTTATAGTGAACATTTAACAAAACGTTTATTTTATTTTCAGTTACTTGAAGTATTGAATAGAAAATATAAATTTCTGTACAATTCCTGTTTCTATGCAATACTCTCAAAATATTTGAATCTGTACAAAGATGTGTAGTGTACTGATAGATTTTCTTAAAATTTTTTTTGTGTTCAAGACATTTAAAATTGGAATTCTAATTTTGATCAATTTAAACTAATTGTATTTTACGTGCTTCGTTTAATATCTCAAGAATACAATGTGATTTGAGTTCAATTGTTTAAGAATAATGATTTTTAGCTTTTCACTTCCTATATGTGTAACACGAAACAAGATAATCTCTAGAAATATTTTATATGATTTGAGAAGTATTCATGATTTCATGCAAACAAACAATTGATATTCGGAACATTGAGAAACGTATGAATCTATAGAATAATGATGAAGGGTATTATTCTGACAATACTTGTAAAAATATAAAGAAATAATGACTTACGAGTTGGCATGTCTTTTATCACGGTGCTCGAAAGGGTTGTAGAGTTCATCTTTCTCGTTGTATTCGCCAATGACGACAGAGGCTATTTTTGTGCTAAAAATAACATAAATTGTACGTTAGTACATTTATTTAAATATAAATTCTTTACTTATTATAAATAAATATAATTTGATACGATGAAGTACTTCAACTATATGAAAATAATAACTTCAATTTAAGAGTATTAAATATTTTAAACTGACGCATATTATAATACATCAAATTCTTGTAATGAGTAAACTACTCACAATTAAAATAAAAAGTTAATCATATCATAAATTATTTACTTCACACTAATCTTACTTCAACATTCTTTGTATTATTTCGAATTACATATATACTAAATTTCACACCACTAATACTATATTTCTTCCCATTTTAACGAACCATAAGAATCATAATTGATTTAATTTAGACTCAATTACATATTTCTTGATTTGATATAAAGAAATTTGGAATAATATAGGTCATACTGTTGTGATTTAACTGGATAACTTCTCGAACCTCAATATTGACATAACTACAAATAAAGACGACTAAGAAAAATTTGATGCATTTTGCGGTGCAGCACGCGTGAATAAAACGTAGCTTGCATTAGTACAATTACCTACTTCGATATGATAAAATCAGAGATTCTAGAAGCAAACAGCAAGAAAACTTAAAATTATTATGTAGTAGATACAGTCAAACGCAAATGCCAAATCAACTTATCGTTCACAGTTAACCCCTCAGGCGGTTATGTCGTATGCATGCGTCATGATCAAAATCAATACACAACGGCAATGACATACTCGCATTATGAAATTCGTAAAAATAATTTTCTAAAAATAAAGATTTTTTAATTCTTTTAATTCTTTCGAAATAACAGTCGCCAAATGGTATTGTACCTGTGTTTCCCGTAATGTACATTATTTTCAAGTAATGGTTATGACTAGACTCCGGATGTCTATGCAAATGCATATTTTTAAAGAAAACAGATAGAGCAATAAGACCTGGGAAGAAATATGTTTTATGATTAGAGAATTCTGAAAATATATTTTTTATTTTGCACTTTTTGCATAATGCATGTTTTTATATTTTATATTTAAAAACATATGCACTAACTTATTGCATATGTTATCTGCCCTGTATAATATCTTTCGTGCTCATGTAAAATATCTTTCTCGACAAATTAATTTAGTCTATCAGGAAATTATCGCATCATAACTATAGATTACTGTAGAATGTCGACAACGTAAACATACATGTATATCGTGATAATTATAGACAAACATCAAAATATACTTGTATAGGCTTCAGTTGTTCGTTGAGCATTGGATGTGACACTACTTGTATCTATTAGAGCGTTTTTAATAACGCCGAAAACTCGGAGTAGTAGAATAGCACTAATGAACAATTGGATCGAAGGCGATTCCAATTTTGTCATCGATGCGAGCAATGAAAAAAGTGTATATTGTCAAACTTGTAATATAACTACAAAATGCGAAAGAAAATCGCAAGTAGTGCAACATATAAATATTGCTACATATAAAAGATACGTTTTTCGGTTAAAGAATTAAAAAAATGAATTTTACGTAAATTTAATGCGAACAATGGTTGCTGTTAATATGACTTGGTGCGTCTTCAATAACGATACATGGAGGAATTTCCTAACGAAATGTACAGACCGCACTGTTCCGGATGAATCGATATTACGAAAAAATTACGCGGACGATTGCTATGATTCAAGTATTCAAAATATTAGGGAAGACATTGCGGATCATTATATGTGGATTTCTGTGGATGAAACCACTAATGCAGTAGGCTAGTACATTGCAAATTTAGGAAAACTTTGCGAAGATCAAATAACGAATCCGCACTTATTGTGTTCCAAGCAACTAGAAGTAATAAATCATGTGACTATATCTCGGTTTGTGAATTCAGCCCTGCGAATATTTCTACCGAATGGTAGCGAGGAAAGAATTCTTTTACTGGTCACAGATACAGCACCATATATGATCAAGGCAGGAAAAAACTAAAATTATTTTACGAAAATATTGTACACATTATATGTATAGCGCATGGCCTACACAGAATTGCGAAGGAAGTACATCTTCACTTTCCACTAGTGGATAAATTAATATCATTAGTAAACAAGGTTTTTGTTAACACTAACCGTACCGACCGCCGGTCAAATGACCGGTTTTAAATACGGTACAAATAGGTATATGTATAAAAGTTTCGGTACGGTTAGTGTTAAAGCACCGCTTCGTATTGAAACCTACCGAAGAATATAAAAAGATACTCCTCTGCCACCGGAACCTATTTTAACTAGACGGAGTACGTGAATTGAAGCGGAATTATTTGATGCTGGATATTTGGAAAAAATGCTTGTCATTTACTGTAACTCGAATTACAATATGTCGCAATAATCACGAAATGTATTATTCATGTTGCATATTTTCCCTGCAAATTTGCATACTTTCCTCCATATTTACGTATCTTTCCTGTATAAATCGCATATGTTTCTTACATATTTATCGTGCATAAACATCCGGATTCTAGTTACGACGTACATATACGTCAGCGATGAAAAATTTGTACCATTATGCACTTTTAATGATGAACCATAACGTTTAACAGGTTAACATATTATGAGAAAAATAAAAATGTTACAAATAATAAACTTTCTTCTAAAGAAAACAGTGTAGCGATTGCGCAGGCCTGTGACGTTTTCATTGGAAACAAAATGTAGCCTGCTCGACGATCGTAAAAATATTATAAACGTGTCGAAAGGCACGACTGCTCTCCACTTATTCCCAATTTAGGTGTCAATTCTGTCGACGTTACATGGATCGATCTCCCAAAGGAAGATGAGACAACATAAATATTGAGATCCACGATGATAGCGCATTGGCGTTTAAATTTTCGGTATGCGTTTAGTCAGTCTATTATCAGTCATGTCTGATAAAGCAGGCGAAGATTTCAGCACATCAATCGAGTGTTGGGATTTATTACAAAAGTTAAACGATTTTCTTGGAGTGGAGGACGTCTATTGATACCAGTCACGTGGTTTTATCGATGTGATCGATGATTAAAACGTTCAGTGTACTTTGGTGATACTTGGCCTGTTTAATTAATACCATGTCATAGATTTGTATGTGTATACTGTGATACGAAACTGATGTAACATACTTAATCAATGACCTAATGAAGTTTAATCAACGATACTTTTTATAAACAACAGATATGTAAAACTCGATTCTTTAACCTTTCGTGAAAGTAAATATAAGATTCATATCCATCGTATTCTGTTATAGTGCTATATTTTTAACTGACACAGATATCGTTTAATGTTAAAATTGTATTAATCCTCTTCAAATCAATTCTAAAGAATTATTAACTTTAATCTATACAATTATCGACAAAAATTAAGAACCAGCAATTAATCAGAGGATATATTTTCTTTGATCACTTGCGTATGTAAATGTTTGAATAAAATGGAAGAAATATATACTGTTTCTACAAAAATGTTAAAGAGTATGTGAAATTGACGTTCATTAATTACGCGTGTCTACGAGTAACAGAAATGATGTTCATAAAAAGTTTCTTGTTTCTTAATTTTTGTCGGTAACTACAAGTGTAAATGTGTATTTTATTGTAAAATAATACCTGCTACTGAACTCCTGCATTGGATTGTCCGCAGCTGCTTGTTCCTTTGTACCTTTCCCCATGATGAATCTAAAAACAATAATTTTTTATAGTTATTAAAAGTAGATACATCCAACTTTTTAAATATACGATTAAGTACTTTTTGTTGATGTCACGAAGAACAATAAAAATTCAATGTTATGTGAATAATTTCAAAGAATAGAATGTAAGTATATCTTCATGATTAAAGTATGGAAATAGTGAAAAGCGAACGGTCGTTTGACTCAGCGTCCATAACTCTAGATACATAAACTACCTACTTTAAGTCGTATTGTTTTAAATATTATCTTTTTTATGCTAATTTTGAACAGAATGGCACATGTTATAATTTATTTTAATTTTGCCACATGCAACTTGTATCTAGATATAAAAATAACGAATGAAGTCCGACCATTTGCGTCACAGTAACACTGTTACAAATAATAATTTTTAAATTTGCATAAACATTTACTTAAAACTCTTCTCGAATTACAATCGTTTTATAAAGTTTCAATGAAGTATTTGTAAATAATACGATTATATATTGGATCATTTCTTATGAATAATTAAGTAGAATTCAAAGAATTTTCAAAAGTAACACTACCAAACACATCAAGTGATCATACCAGGCTGTTTTCATTAGTTTTGTGCTCTTCAAAGTTGAAATGTTACACACAATTTGCAGAATGCCTCATCTGTGTATATGATTTTCTAAAATAATTTTCATAATAAACAATCTTCTCAACATCAAATCGTTTTAGAAGATTGATATACATTTACGAATGGTACACTGCTTTGAGAAATAGTCTATTACATTGAATAATTGAAATAACTTTGTTACATATTTCAATAAGACAATAAAACCATATCAGTCGTATCTTAACAGGATTAGTGTAGTATACATTCGATACGCAGTAATAAAGAAAACCAAGTGTTTTATTTACATTCTGTATCTACATATGTACATCATTTACCTTTCATCATTATTAGAATACAATTATTGATTGAATCTGTCGAAATTGAACCATAAATAATTATGAATTGTCTTGTAAAATTGTAGATTCCTATCATGCATCCGACACGCAATACGGAATTACATAATCGATCCAGATCAAATCGTTTTTCGTGAATTTAAACGCTTATCGAAATAGACGATCTACCGAGGGTGATTATATCGGTCATCGATCTATCGTTCACGTGAATCTACTTCATTGGAATCCGTTAGATTCCGCGAAGGAAATCGATGAAGAGGGATATTAGATCGAGACGATTATGATGTTCATTAATTACAGGTATTATAATTTTGACGGAGGCCTCGGTTTATCGCCAAAAAATTTCCATCGATTATCGATTGTCTTATCAAATAGATTACCATAATTCGTGCGCCTAAGTTTGTGATCGATTACCCTTAGAATATTATTCGTATGTCAGAAAATACGGAGAAAAAAAAAATTAAAAGCATAGAACAATGCAGAACCATCATGACGTTTAAGAAACGAGGCTGTGTGCTATTTAAACGGTCATTTAAGATCTTAGACGGATATTACCACGTTGATTGTAATGATGGTCATCGATGATCGATGTCATTAACACTAGAATTACCAGGGAATAATTGCAGCTATTTTTGTCACAGTTATGAAAATTATAGATGTACGAGAAAATACATATTAGTAGATTATGAAATTTATTTATATACAGACAGTCGTAAGACTCATTAAATATCTCAGAAAATGCAATGTCATCGAATGATGCAATTTTTATAAGAAATTACAGACCAGTAACTTTCATTGCTTTTGTACGTCTTGTGTTATATTGTACGAAATACAGTTAATTTCTGAAGAGTGATACTTACAATCTTGTGAATATTAAGTTGGCTACAAAGTAATGTTAGATTTCTGCAGTACATGATGCTTTTCTTGTATTTCAATGCAAAGCACTGCTCCTAACTAATAAAGCATGTATACATATTCTGGCAGTTCACACTTTAACGCATAGTTTTAAAAAAATCATTATGATTTGGATGAATTTTCTTGAATAGACCTTGTTTTTAGAATGAGTGACGGGAAGGTATACTTTCGAACAATTATGCTTTTTTATTTCCGTTCCATTACAGCATTATTACCATGTATACAGGACGTTTTTTTTGTTGTTTCGTGCCCCTTTTTTTCTTCTCCGGAAATAAAAAAGCATAATTACTCGAAAGTGCACTTCCTCGTCACTCGTTTTCGTAACAAGGTCATTTCAATGAAATTTAATCCGATCGTAATGATTTTTTTTTTAAATCACATACATATTTTATTAGTTCGAAGCAGTGCATTGTATTAAAAAATAAAGAAAAGCATCATCTACTGCAGAATTTCGACATTAGTTTTTTGGTCAATCCAATAAAAATTAATACATACTGGAGTGGTAATCAAAGTAATGAATATAAAAGTTAAGGTAAATATTTGTATAATGTACAGAAAACAGTTGATAAGATGTATTTTATTACGATACTGTACTAGTAATGTAAAAGTGACGAAGTATGTATACATATATGTTAGCTATAACATTACAAATGAGCATAGAAAATTATTTCAACAAAAATATGTTTAAACACATCTTACTATTACTGTAGCTTGTGTATTTACTATTACAGATGGTAGCATCTTTGACGTGCTATTATTAAAAGAAACATGTTAGGAGTAGTTTCGATAGATTTAATACTTTACAATGTTGTTATCATAGAATATTATATCAATAAATCTACATCTACCACATATTTATAGGCTAATAACACTAGGACACCTACCACACATAATTAACACTAGAACTACCAATCCAGTAAAACGACAGATTTCAGATTTCTTATTTTGCAATTATTGAAATTGAGCAAGTGCTTTTGTTGGAGTTTATAACGATCTTTAAACGATTATATACTTTATATTATACTGTTTTATATTGGGTCATTGCATAAGTAATGCAAATTTTCTCTGATCTTTGTAGAAGTATAAAAACATAGTTAAAACTATGTATTAATTTTCTACCTTACTACATTTTCCTTCATCTTCTACAAGATTTCGTCATTTTCTCAACAATTTTGCAATTCTAAAAATGGTAAAAATATTGAAATAATAGAATAAGTAGAAATAAAATTCACAATAAAATATCCAACATTATAGGATGATTTAAAAATTCATCAAAAAGACCAAATCTCTTATCCTCAAAGCATTCACTCCTGTCTAATCTCAAAATTGATCCACTTTTCTGTAATAATTACAACGTACAAAATAAACTGAAACATTTGTTATATCAACACGATAAATATTGCTCCGATCGTAAGAAGTACATATACTTATAACACTCTTAAAGACGAGAGTACCAATGGAATCAAACTTAAACAAGGAGTCTTGAAAGATACGATGTGTATGTGTGTGTGTGTGTGTGTTTATTCAACGAGCTGCACATTCGTGATCCTAATTGTAGGTCGCAGCGAAACGCGCATCGAATCATTAACACCTGTAATTAACAAAAAGAAACGACGTATGAATGCAACGTGTATAGTTGTACGCGTTACACAACACGTCTTAACGGTTAAAGTGGATAACTAATGAATAACTAGTGGGAGTCACACTTCGCACAAAAAATGCCACGTGCATTAGCTCCCATGACCTATCGTGAAAAGCAAACTACATAATTGACTATGTAATACTTAAAATTCAGAATAACACGTATCGTCCTATGCTACTTAAATATTTCTTACTTTATTATAATTTTTTATCTGTTACTTTAGCAAAGGTTAAACCGAGACCGTAATCGTTAACAGTTAAACGAAGGTAATAGATTGTCTCAAAAGTTTCCAAACTGAAATGGAAACAGTAGGTTTCCGTGAAATGATGATGCTCTTTATCGTCGAATATTACAAATAGTTTTCTTTTGAAAAGATATACAGATCACAATAATTGTAGAAACTTTAGTAATGGCTCTGGTAATTCTTCTTCAAAATGGTGGAAAGGATAACGGTCGAAATTTTTAGCTTCACGAACCATGAAATGAAAACAACATTTTCGTCTCAAGTGGTATCTCACTTTTTGATTATCCACCGTGTTCGTCTAATTCTGTTGTATCGAACTACTTTCTGTTACCCAAATTTGAAAGGAACACAAAGAAATGGTAATCTAAAATCATTTTGACATGTACTTCGACGACTTACTCCAATAAGATACTTAAAAGAAGAAAGAAATTCCTACATTTGCGCTTGTCTTTATCAATTACTTTAGAAAATGTCATTTTGCATAAAAATTCGCAGTCTATAATGTAATCAGTTACTATTGTATCAATGATGAAGTGTCCCACATTTCTGACCGGTAGTGTATTTCCAATGTTTTTATAATTATCACAAGCAATATTTCATTTCAGGAAGTAACTACTGTCAATCATTTCTGATAAAAAGCATGAATATCATATAAAAAATCGCTGTTTTAACTTGAATTCAGAAACTTTCAGAAGTCGTAGAAAATTCATCGATAAATGTTACACAAGTTATGAACAAAATTTCACAAACAATTGCAATTTTCTTGGTATTTATTCGTTCTATCATTGAGACATCCGATCGACGAATTGGTTAATCATTTGCAGGATAAGTCAGCCGAATCATTTAAACTACGATCTAACTTAAATGTCAGTTCGATATATTCAAATTAATATTAATTAGGTATTATAAAATGTAACTTCATTTGTTCATGTCAATTATTATATTTGTATATTTTTTATTCCATAAGAGTGGAATTCTAATTTTAGAAAATTCGACATGAATGTATGTTCGAATTTTACACCTACTCACTGAATTTGGTTCGTTTTAAACTTATATATAAACTTTTTATGGAAGTGAAATCTTCAACTGAAAGTCATTGTATAACAGGGTTAATACTATTGTGTTATAATTTACGGTTTATATCGTTTTTAATCCTACAATATGAATTTTCAGATGTCTCCGTTGTTTCTACATCAGTATAAAAAGCTCATTTATTTGATAATACATATTCTATTTTTGGAAGTATATGGGAGTAGTA